AACAAAATTTGTTGATAACATCTCACCCACTCTCTCATTTACTCTCTTTTTACATTGCTTCACCACTCTCTTAACCTCTCTCTTTTTCTCCATATACTCTTCCCTCCTTGCATCACTTCTACTTTGTAAAAACTTCTCATATGCTAAATTTTTCTCCCTTACTACTCTCTCTACATCATCATTCCACCAATCACTCCTCTTCCCTCCCGCACCCACTTTCTTGTAACCACAAACTTCTGCTGAACACACTAACACTACGTTTTTAAACCTACCCCATACCTCTTCGACCCCATTGCCTATGCTCTCAGTAGCCCATCTATCCTCCAATAGCTGTTTATATCTTACCCTAACTGCCTCCTCTTTTAGTTTATAAACCTTCACCTCTCTCTTCCCTGATGCTTCTATTCTCCTTGTATCCCATCTACCTTTTACTCTGTGTAGCTACAACTAAAAAGTGATCTGATATATCTGTGGCCCCTCTATAAACATGTACATCCTGAATTCTACTCAACAGTCTTTTATCTACCAATACATAATCCAACAAACTACATATCTTGTATACTTATCCTCTTTTTCTTAAAATATGTATTACCTATAACTAAACCCCTTTCTGTACAAAGTTCAATCAAAGGGCTCCCATTATCATTTACACCTGGCACCCCAAATTTACCTACCACACCCTCTCTAAAAGTTTCTCCTACTTTAGCATTCAGGTCCCCTACCACAATTACTCTCTCACTTGGCTCAAAGGTTCCTATGCATTCACTTAACATCTCCCAAAATCTCTCTCCTCTACATTCCTCTCTTCTCCAGGTGCGTATACGCTTATTATGACCCACTTTTCGCATCCAACCTTTACTTTAATCCACATAATCCTTGAATTTACACATTCATATTCTCTTTTCTCCTTCCGTACTGATCCTTCAACATTACTGCTACCCCTTCCTTGGCTCTAACTCTCAGATACTCCAGATTTAATCCCATTTAATTCCCCCCACCGAAACTCCCCTACCTCCTTCAGCTTTGTTTCACTTAGGGCCAGGACATCCAACTTCTTTTCATTCATAACATCAGCAATCATCTGTTTCTTATCATCCGCACTACATCCACGCACATTCAAGCATCCCATTTTATAAAGTTTTTCTTCTCTTTTTAGAAAAATGTCTACAGGAGAAGGGGTTACTGCCCACCGCTCCCGCATTTTAGTCGCCTCATACGACACGCATGGCTTACGGAGGAAAGATTTTTTTCCACTTCCCCATGGATAATAGAAGAAATAAATTAGAACAAGAGCTATTTAGAAAAAGGAGAAAAACCTAGATGTATGTATATATATACAGTGGACCCCCGCATAACGATGGCATCACATAGCGATTATTTCGCATACCGCTTACTTTAATCGCAAAATTTTTGCCGCCCCAATCCCGATTAAAAAACCCGCTCACCGTTTTTCCCGTCCGAGACGCGTCCAATGTGCGCCCTCACCCAGCCTCACATGTGCCGCCCTTTGCCATTGTTTACCAGGCAGCCTCCGCGCTAACATCCAAGCATACACTGGGAATATTTCGTATTATTACAGTGTTTTCGGTGGTGTTTCGGGAAAATAAGTGACCATGGGCCCAAGAAAGCTTCTAGTCCCAAACCGTACACCAATAAGGGTAAGGATACCCATTGAAATGAAGAAAGAGATCATTGATAAGTATGAAAGTGGAGTGCGTTATTGCCGACCTAGTCAAGTTGTACAAGAAACCCCCAATCAACCATCGCTACTATTGTGGGCACCAAAAAGACAATCAAGGAAGCTGTTCTTGCCAAAGGTTTAACTGTTTTTTTCGAAACAAAGATCGCAAGTGATGGAAGATGTTGAGAGACTCTTATTGTGGTGGATAAATGAAAAACAGCTAGCAGGAGATAGCGTCTCTCAAGCGATCATATGTGAAAAGGCTAGGAAGTTGCATGAGGATTTAATTAAAAAAAGGCCTGCAACTAGTGATGATGTGAGTGAATTTTAAGGGCCCAGAAAAGGGTTTGGTTTGAGAGATTTAAGAAGCGTAGTGGCATCCATGTGTGATAAGGCATGGGTGAGGCTGCCAGTTCGGACCACAAAGCAGCTAAAAAATATGTGCAGGAATTCAAGGAGTATATAGAAACTGGGGAAAACCTGAAACCTGAACAAGGTTTTAATTGTGATGAAACGGGCCTGTTCTGGAAGAAAATGCCAAGCAGGACCTACATTACTCAGGAGGAAAAGGCACCCCCAGGACATAAGCCTATGAAAGACAGGCCTTACTTTGTTGATGTGTGCCAATGCTAGTGGTGATTTGCAAGTGAAGCCTTTATTAGTGTATCACTCTGAAACTCCCAGAGCGTTCAGGCAAAAGAATGTCCTCAAGGATAATTTGTGTGTGCTGTGGAGGGCAAACAGTAAGGCATGGGTCACTAGGAATTTTTCTATAACTGGTTACACCATGCATTTGCCCCAATTTGAAAGATTACCTAACTGAAAAGAAATTAGAACTTAAGTGCCTCCTGGTGTTAGACAATGCCCCTGGTCATCCTACAGACGTGGCAGAGCGACTTTATGGGACATGAAATTCATTAACATCAAGTTTTTGCCTCCTAATACCACTCCTCTCCTGCAGCCCATGGACACAGGTTATTTCCAACTTCAAGAAATTTGTACACAAAAGCTCTGTTTGAAAGGTGCTTGTAATGACCTCAAACTCAACTGACTCTAAGAGAGTTTTGGAGAGATCCACTTTAATATCCTCAATTGTGTAAACCTTATAGGTAAGCTTGGAGGAAGTGACTAAGAGGACCTTGAACTCTGCTTGGAAGAAACTGGGGCCCCAAAATGTGTAGACAAAAGGGATTTTTGAAGGTTTGAGGCTAACCCTGAAAGGATTTTGCCATTTGAGGAATCCATTGTGGCATTGGAAAGTCCTTGGGTTGAGGTTAGTGGGGAGGATGTGGAAAGAGTTTGGTGGAGGTAGGACAATGAAGAACTAACCACTGTATGAGCTGATAGATCAACTTCAAGAGCAAGAGGCCAGACCTGGGAAACTGGTTTCAGAGGAGGGGAGAGAGAAATTGAAGAAGTTGCCTACTACAAAGATAAAGGAAATCTGTGCAAAGTGGCTTGAAGTGAAAAACCTTCATGGATGAAAATCCCCTCACACAGCTATGGCAAGCCGTGCTGGTGACTATTACATGACAATGTGTGAAACACTTTAGGGAAGTGATAAGGAACGTGAGGTACAGGCCACTATGGACAGATATCTTGTGCGAAAGAAGCCCAGTGACTCTGAAGCTGGCCCAAAGTGGCATTAAAAAAAGAAGGGAATAACCCCAGAAAAGGACTTACTACCTCAAGTCCTAATGGAAGGGGATTCCCCTTCTAAACACTAACTCACTCTCTTCCCCTCCTCCCATCCATCAATCATCACCAGTTCTTCAATAAAGTAGTGTCTTTAAAGTGTGCATGCCTTTTTCATTTGTGTGTATTAAATTAATATTCATGTGTTAAAAAAATTTTTTTTTCTACTTTTGGGTTCTTCCCACGGATTAATTTTATTTCCATTATTTCTTATGGGAAAATTCATTCCACATAACGATTATTTCGCATAACAATTACCCCTCTTGCACGGATTAAAAATCGTTAACCGGGGGTCACACTGTATATCATGTGCGAGTGTCTGTGAAATGTGACCAAAGTGTAAGTAGGAGTAGCACGATATCCCTGTTATCTTACGTGTTTATGAGACAGAAAAAGACGCCAGCAATCCTACCATCATGCCAAACAGTTACAGGTTTCTGTTTCACAGTCATCTGGCAGGATGGTAGTACTTCCCTGGGTTGGTGCTGTCTACCAACCTACTACCTGTAATATGTTTTCCATTTTATCACACGAGACCATGAAAACAAGAATACAACGATAGATACTATACGAAAATACACCCCAAAATCAGCGTTTTAATCCAAAAAAAGAGTCGGGTTTTTTTTCTTGTTATGCACTGCGTGCTGCAGGATTTTTTTTTTATATGTGGAGCACACTGACCCCACACACCCATTCTCTCACATGTGGGCCTACCAGCTTTCTCCTGCTTGATTCGAAGCCGCTAGAATTTGTGTGTTTAAATACGTCTGAAACAGTGGCGTGTAAGGCGTATATATACAACCGAAACAGTCAAAGGGTTAAGCCCCATAAAACGCCAAGCTCTAAGGGAAGAGATTGACTTTTTACTGACCCATGGACTGATTGAAAGGAGCAAAAGCCTGTGGACCTCTCCTTGTGTATTGGTCCCAAAATCAGAAGGTACCTGTCGTATGTGCACGGATTATAGAAAGGTGAATTCCGTTAGTTCCTGATGGTTACCCTTTGCTGAGGGTAGATTTAATCGACAGGGTTGCCAGAGCCAAGTGTGTGAGCTGGCTGGACTTACTGCGAGTCTACTATCAAGTACCCACGACAGACCGCTCTTAGGACACATCTGCATTTACAGTGCATGGGGGCTTGTTCAACTACTACTTGGTTACACCATTTGGGTTGTGCAATGCAGCATCCACGTTCCAGCAGCCCATGAATGACCTTACTTATAACCTTGAGGGGGTAGAAGCCTACCTCGACGACCTAGTAGTCTTTAGTGATGAATGGAGTTCACATTTAATCTGTCTGGAGGCTCTTTTTAACCCGACTGAAAAGGAGCAGTGCATGACCAATTAATTCAGGCAGTATTAATGACTTTTCCCCTTTTTCTTCTAGCCATTCACTAAAGAAATGTATTGTCCAAAAAATGGGGTCAGTTGTATGGACTTGCTTGACTTCCAGGTGAAGTCTCTTGGTCCAAGGAACTGGAATTCTCCCTTTACTTGAACCTGAATACCTCACTTTGCCTAGGTTCTGTATGACCTCTAATTAACCTTTAAACTGCATTTAACACATGCCACATGTCTGGTTACACAGGTGTGTATGACAAACACTTAATTTTTTCTGCTTTCAGCTGTCATCCTAGGCCAAGGGAAGTTTGCTCATGTTCTGTTTGATACCAAGGAAACAAGAAATCTGTGGCCACTTGGTGAGTCCCTGGGCATTATTAGTAACACAGCTTCAGTAACAGTTTTGAAACTATGGCAAGGAGACATCATAAGAACATATGAGAGAAGGAACACTGTAGTAGGCCTGTTGGCCCATACTAGGCAGGTCCTGCACAAACCCAACCCACTAACAATAAATGCTACCCAAGCAATAAGCTTTGACAGTTCTGTAAGACACACATGCAACAGTTAGGTATCTTTATTTTGAAATGTTTTGCCTACACAGTAGGCTTCTTCAGTCGAGTACAGAAAAGTTGATAGAAGAGACGTGAAGATGATGTAATCAGTCCACTGGCAATTTTGCCAATTTCACACAAATTTCAAAAGATGCCAATTTCCAAACAGGGTCCAGAATAAACAAGACAGACATTCCTGGCACTAAAATAACATTTCCTCTGTTCACTAGTCACGTCCCCATGCCCCTCTTACATTTCTTTTGCTTTTCACTTTGAATTTTTCTCACAAAAAATAGAAGATTTACTGTTATGCAGACTACTGCATTAACCCCTTCAGGATCCAAGGCCCAAATCTGAAGTGGTGCCCCAGTGTCCAAGAATTTAAAAAAAAAAAATTTGTTATTTTTCTTATGAAATGGTAGAGAATCTTTTTGTGAAGGTAATAAAACAAAAAGTACGAAATTTGATGGAAAATTGACGAAATTATGCTCTCGCGAATTTTGATGTGTCAGCAATATTTACGAATTGGCGATTTTGCCGACTTTGACTCCCATTTTAGGCCAATTACGTTATTCCAGTCAACCAAATTCTTAGCTATTTCACTAGTATTACTTCTATTCTATCGATTGAGCACAAGAAATTGCCAAGTCAACTGTTTCAACTACAAAATTTAAAATGATCTGAAATTGTTAATTTTTGGCCAATTTAACACAAAGTTCAAAATATTCCAATTTTTAAAATAGGGTCCAGAATAAACAATGCAGGTATTCCTGGAACTAAACTAACATTTCCTCTGTTCATTAGTTATGTTTTGAGGCTTTACAAATAAATTCCATTTTGATTTTTTATTCACATAATGAATTTTTATTCACACCAAAAAATAGAAGATTTACTGTTATGCAATACTGTAATAATTGTATAAATATCATCACCATATTTGTGAATGTATATTAGACCCACCAGCTGGCATGTATTAGACGTGTGAGGTAGTTTGTTTACTCTTGAATATCGGCAAAAATTTAACATTTCTGCTACTTTGAGTTCAGATTCAAGCCATTTCCAGTGATAAAACCAATGAAAATCATCTCTATTTCTGTAATATGTCTTCCATTCTATCAAATGAGACCAAGAAATAGCAAATAGAACTATAAAAAACATACGAAAAAACACTGCAAAGTCGCTGTTTTAATCGAAAAATCATGATTTCAGTTTTTTCTCTCGTTATACACAGCGTGCTGCAGGATCTGTTTTATGTGGTGCACACATACCACATAGATGTATTCTCTCATATCTAGGCCCAAATGTACCACTCACAGTTTATCAGAGTGAGCTGAGCTCATGACGTAGATCTACAGTTTGGACCCTGAACATAAAGCCGTAGATCTATGGGACGGACCCTCAAAGGGTTAATGTAGAAATGGTATAAATAATATCAGCGCACTTGTGAAAGAATATTAGACTCACCAGCTGACATGTATTGGACGTGTGGCATGATTTGTTTACTTTTGAACTTTGGCAAAAATCGAAGATTTCTGCTACTTTGAGCTCAATTTCAAGGTACTTTTCATTGTGAAACCAATCAAAATCATCTCTGTAATATGTCTTCCATTCTATAAAATGAGACCAGGAAAACTAGAGTACAGCCATAAATACCATACGAAAATACAGTGCAAAGTTACTGTTTTAAACCAAAAACACGGTCAAAGATTTTTTTATTTCTCATTACGCACTTTGTGCTGCAGGATTTTTTTTATACTGTGCACACTGACCACATAGACCCATTCTTACATATGTAGGCCTACCAGCTTTCTCTCACTAGATTTGAAGGCGCTAGAATTTATGTGTACTAGTACGTCAATAACCCTGAAAGGGTTAAGTGCTAGTAAGGCAAATTATTCACCAATAAAGTGTAAACCCATCCTTTGTCAAGCAAGGTCTAGTAGTATGTTGTATACACATTATTCTATGGTGATACTAGAAATGCTGGCGATGTGGGAGAAATTAGTAAAAGTGATTCTGCTGATGTTGGTCTTAGTAATATTGCAGCAGGAGTTATGCCACCAGCTGCTTTGTTACAAACACTGCATGTGGCACCACAAGGGAATGACACAAGCTTCTGTACCACAAACACAAGAAGTGGTACCACAAGCTGTGATACCAAATATAAAACCACCAACAAGCAGGGTGTGGAACTGGCACCTTAAGGTGTTGATGACGGTGGAATTCAGTCGAACTGTCAGGTAACTGATAATTCCAGTAAATTTGATCATTTCAAAGTATTCTTTGATGATACACATATGAATGTAACTGTGTCTCGGTTATTCCCAGTACACAATGGCCAATACATACATTTCAGTGAAATCTCAGTTTCACAAGTGGAAAGATACCACTGTTGCAGAGATATACTTGTTCTTTGCAACACTCATGCTCAGGTCATGTGTTCATAAAAGGAATATATTGAAGTATTTTTAGAATAGATACTTATATCAATGCCAACTTTCAGTGAACTAATGGAAGTTGATTGCTTCTTGCTGCTACTGCATATGTTGCATTTCTGTCAAATTTCGTCCCCAGAGAGATGATTTGTCCTACAAAATAAGGAAAGTGAATTCTTTTATCTCATCAAGAAGATTGTTATTGATGAGTCTCTGATATTATTCAAAGACAGGCTTTCCTTCAAGCAGTATATAACCAACATAAAACATTGCTTTGGCATCAAACCGTTGTGCGTGATTGTGAAACTGGTGTAGTTAGATATTGTGTACACAGGCAAGAAACCCTTAATAATAATATCTGTATTTGCTACAAGTACATGTACATGGTATACAGGCCTAGCTGATATCACTGACATACTACTATACAGAAAGCCGCTTGTTATGTAGAGCGTTTCAGGCATATTAGGCCCTTGTTCCAAGATGCGACCCACACCAGTCGACTAACTCCTAGGTATCCATTTTACTGATGGGTGAACATAGAGAACCGATGTAAAGAAATGCGCCCAATGTTTCTACCCGTGCTGGGAATCGAACACAGACCCTCGCCATGTGAAGCGAGAGCTTTAGCCACCAGGCCACGGGGCACCATAAAAACACCAGAGTCCTTTTAATAAGTAAGTAGGTTTTGGTGATTTTTTTTTTTACAATGGTCTTGACGGTACACACATTGTGGGCACGTGAAAAATGTATAATGCAAATTTAAGTTTGAATAGCCTATTTAAGTCAAAAATATTGTAAACCCATTTGAGTAAACCTCACTACATCCAACTATGCCAGTTGGGGGTAACATGAACTTTCCACACATTTCCAGGTCGACAAGAGGAAACAACATCCACAATGTAAATTGTCAAAAATATTTATTAATATTGACAGTTTAAGAGCTGAAAAAAATAAACGGCCATTTTTGAGGTGTCACGGCACATCCAATTTTTCGCACAAGTTGTTCACCTTACCCATCGTATTTTCATGGATAGCTCCATTTTTCACATGAATGGTGGTTAGTCTACTGTAATTTGTCATTGGTGGACAGTGTTTATTCTAAATATTTTGACTTATGTTTTGTATTTCATGTAGCTCTTTTTCCCAGTTTATATTACCTAGGGCTAAGATTTAAGTTTCTTATTGAAACATCACTGTGTAGTCTAAATTTGATAGTGTGATGAATGGTTTTGAAAACCGACAAGTTGAAGAATTGGGACACTTATGCAACGTATGAGAATCTTTACTAAAGAAACGTTTCGCCACACAGTGGCTTCATCAGTCCAGTACAAAGTAGAAATGGGTAAGGAGAGGCTATTTAGGTAATCAGTCCCTCAGCCTGGAATCGATGTGTTCAGTCCATCACTCTTGTAGGAAGTACAGCATAGGGCCAGAGAGGTGGCTTATATACTGCAGTCAGGCGAGTTGAAGCAGGTGGTGATGGAATCACAGTGAGACCTTCCACTAGTGTAAGTAGGTCGTCATCCAGAGGTTGGACAAGCGTTGAAAAAGTCTTTGTACCAAGATCCCATGATGTTGCAATGTCTGACAGTTGTGATGAATGGTTTTGAAAACTGACAAGTTGAAGAGTGATGGACTGAACACATCGATTCCAGGCTGAGGGACTGATTACCTCAATCTCCTCCTCCTTACCCATTTCTACTTTGTATTGGACTGATGAAGCCACTGTGTGGCAAAACGTTTCTTCAGTAAAGATTCCCATATGTTGCATAAGTGTTTCAGTTCTTCAACTTGTCAGTTTTCAAAACCATTCATCATGTAACACCATTTTTAGAAGAAATGATGCTCTGAGTGAAGGCATACGAAAGGAATAATTTTCTACAGTTATCCCCAGTAACACATTTTCTCTGATGTTGTACTAGAGAAAACATTATTCTTGCCATCACTCGTACAAGTCGTCTGGTACCACATCTCATATTTATGTTAATTTGTTCTATTGTGGGGTGTGTTTATCATCTTTATATGTTACTTACCATGTTTATAATTTTGAAAAAATATCGTAGATGTATTAATGAAAATATGTATACATGTATTAACGTAATATACGACATTGAATGAGACTCGGTGATTATTATCGAGTGTTGTTATCATTATTAATATGGCATCTCGAGACATAAGACACACTGACTTTAATGTGTACCTGCACGCGAGCACAGTAAGTTTATTTAGGTACAGGTATGTACTGTACATAAGTATATAATTATCAGAGTACATACAGTGGTACCCCGAGTTTCGTACAGCTCCCAACTTGAACAATTATGTAAGTGTCTTATTGTAAGCACTTTTGTAAGTGTATTTCTAGGGTTCTGAAACAGACTAATCTAATTTACATTATTCCTTATGGGAACAAATTTGCTTGGTAACGGCACTCGAACAGCCTTCTGGAACGAATTAAGGCCGAAACTCTGGGTACCACTGTACGTATACATGTACAGCAGGGCCCCACTTTACGGCGTTCCGCTAATACGGTCATTTCAAATTATGACCAAAACTCACTATACGGCTCCCCCCACCTGACCTTTATAATACGGTCACCGCGCCCCACCTTGTTTGTTTACATTCTTCGTGAGCTCAGTAAGCACTAAGTCTCTCCATTTTGTTTGGAAACTCCAAAATTTCAAATGTTTTTAAAAGTTATTTCATATTTTATATATACTCTGATAATTATACTTATGTATACCTGTACTTAAATAAACTTACATACTGTGCTGGCGTGCAGGTACACATTAAAATCAGTAAGAGTGTCTTTTGTCTCCAGACGTCATATTAGTAATAATAATAATCCTCGAGTCTCATTTAAATGTCGTATATTACGTTAATATACACATTTTCATTAATCCATCTATGATATTTTTTCAAAATTACATAATAAACACGATGCATAACATATAAATAAGATAAATACACCCCACTGTAGAATAAATAAACATAAATATGAGATGTGGTAGCAGACGACTTGCACAAGTGACGCCATATTAGAAATAATAATAATCACCGAGTCTCATTAAATGTCGTATATTACATTAATATACACATTTTCATTAATCCATCCATGATATTTTTTTCAAAATTATATAATAAACACGATACATAACATAAAAAGATGATAAATACACCCCACAATAGAATAAATAAACATAAATATG